AGCAGATATTAAGGGACTTATTTCCTGAGCACCCTGTACCTTCTTGCCTTGTATAAACAAGACTTTTAAAAAGGCCTAGGTGTGTCTGCAGGGAGAGAGGTGGAGGGAGGCAATCATGGGGTTTATATAAAGGCTTAAGGAGTTTGGTTCAGGGCCAGGCCAGATTCTTTCAGTGTTTTGGACAGCCTGGACAACCTAGATCCCTTTATTAAGGCCTGACTTTCAAGGCTCAAGCATGGACTCGGTCTCTGGGGAAGAATAATGAGCTGGCAGGTCACAGAATGGCCAAGCCTCTCATCAAGGAGAGGCACTGGAATGTAGCTCGGTGGTAGAGAGTGTGCTTAGCATGTAGGAAGCCCTGAGTTCCATCACAAGCACCAAAGGAGAAGACATGAAGGCAGGAAGGCAGACATGCAGGTGTGAACTAGAGTCCCTGCTGTCACTTCCCTGCCTGGCTGGCTTTCACGATGTCATATACCTACCTCTTCATCCTGAGGAGGGGAAAGGTGGGGTCACCTACTAATTCCTTTTACCTAGCTCCATGAAACACTTCATACAAAACCAACACCTACAGTAAATACAGGAGCACAGAGCAAGACCCAGAGTAAACCTAAAAGGCCCTAAAAGGCTACTACCAGTGCTTGCCATAGAAGACATTGTCCTGGAAAACAAGGCTTTATTGTAGAACTCCAAAAGTCGTCTTCTAGGGCATACATTAACTTTAGTTGTCTGTGGGGAGGGTGGGTGGATTGATGGATGGATGGAAGGACAGATAGATGGATGGATAGATAGATAAATAGATAGATAGATAGATAGATAGATAGATAGATAGATAGATAGATAGATAGACAGACAGATAGACAGGTTGCTTTTGAGACGAGATCATGCTTTGTAGCCTCTTGAGCACTGGGCTTACAGGCATAAGCCACTATGGTAGGCTTGCAGCTGGTTTTGCAAATGGTGGAGACATTAGACTAACTTCAGCTTCTTTGGGATACACATCCAACCTTCAGTTTTCCAGACGGCCTGGGTTTCCCTTCGTTTTAGCCATTAGCATGGCTGAAGCCTGTAGACTTTAGTTCCATAGGACTTCCCCTGTTGTGGCTGTTCCAGTGTTCAGGGCCTCCAAATCATGATCCACTTCAGTTAAAATTGTGGGGATGGCTCTTTGAAGGGCTTTCACATTCTGCACGACATCAATAGAGCCATCTGGAGACCCAGATGATCTCACCAATGCAGAGGCCAGCTCAGTGCTGGAACTCTTGCACCCAGCATGCATATAGACCTGGACTCCTCTGCGGCTCTCTTGGGAAACTCAGAGCTGAATCAGAACAATAGAACTGCTCTCGCTCCCTGATGCACCCTCCTACATCCCCTTCTCTCTCTTTCTTACTCTTTCCTGTCCCATTTTCCTCTGGCCAAGAACAGAGGATGGTCAGGTTCATAGGAGATCGGTACCAAAGCCTCCTGAGAGCTAAATACGACAGACATCATTTGACCGTATTTCTTCACTCTTCCCTTTTCATTCAACCTCCAGCCAACACTGCCTCTTCGCCCCTCCTTTGTCCCTTCAGCTTCTTCTACACATTTCTTTATCTCATCCACTTTTTCTCTGTTACCCCAATACTAAATTGTAACATTGAAATAAGGCAATGGTTCTTAACCTTCCTAATGCTGTGACTCTTTAATACAATTCTCGTGTATGGTGACCTCCAACCATACAATTATTCCGTTAGTACTTCATAACTCTATTTGTGCTGCTGTTATCAATCGTAATGTAATTATCTAATATGCAGGATATCTGATACAGGACCCCCGTGTAAGGCTCATTCAACCCCCTCCAGGGGGTCATGACCACAGGTTGAGAACCACTGCAATAAGGGCTTTTGTTTGTGTGTTTGTTTATCTGCTTGTCTGGGATTTGAGTAGAGTTTGGTATTTTGAATTGCTGATACAGCTTTTTCTTTTTAAATTATTTATTTTATGTGCCTGGGTGAGTATGCCTATGTGTATGTGTGTGCACTGTGTGTATTTGGTGGCCTTGGAGATCAGAGGAGGGCAGCAGATTGCCTGGAACTAGGGTTACAGATGGCTGTGAGTCAAATTATGGGTGCTAGGAATTGAACCCAGGTCCTCTGGAAGCAGAGCCATCTCCCAGCTCCCACTTTATTCTTTCTTTTGTTGTTATTACCTTTTCGCTCGAAATGAAAGCAACTCGAAATGTTAGTGCACACACTACTGTCAGCAACCCTTTACATCCTAAAGCTTGATATGCAAAAGGTAATTCGATTTTATTGTTTGTTCCTGGCCTATCACTATGTACTTGGCCTTTGGTAGTCATTGATTTTTTTCAGAAACTGTTTTAACAGGAAGTTAGCACTGGGGGTCATGCCTGGGGCCCCAACAACAATTCTAGATAAGAAAAATAACACCACTGCCCTACAGCCCAGTCAGTCCCTCTTATCTTTTAACATTTATTTAATTGTATGTATGTGTGCACACATGCACCCACATGAGTGCAGCTGCCTCAGGCTCCAGAAGTAATGGTTGAATCTCCTGAACTTGGGGTTTTGGGCAGTTGTGAGGCAGCTTGCATGAGTACTGGGGACTGAACTCGGGTCCTCTGCCAGAGCAATGCACACTCTTAACCATTGTGCCACTCCAATCCCTACCTGAGTCCCTCTTTAATAGTGCAAACACTGCCTTAAAATAATGTGGTGATCTTTAATAAATATTTAAAAGTTAATATATTCAACCAATGACCTAACTCCAGATAGCCAGGTCCTATCAGAGAAACATAAGTAACATGAGAAAACCATAACAATATAATTCCACCAAACCTTGTCATTACCAGCTGGGAGGGGTTGGTGCATGCCTTTAATCCAGCAGAGGCAGGTAGAGCTCTGTGAGTTCCAGACCAACCTGGTCTACAGAATGAGATCCAGGACAGCCAGGGCTACACAGAGAAACCCTATCTCAAAAAAATAAAAAGAGGAAGAGGAGGATGAGAAAAGGAGGAGAAGGAGGAACAGTAGGAGGGATGCACAAAGCCAGTTATAGAAAAGTTCCTTCAGAATAGCAGCTGAAGGCCGGGCGATGGTGGCGCACGCCTTTAATCCCAGCACTCGGAAGGCAGAGGCAGGCGGATCTCTGTGAGTTCGAGACCAGCCTGGTCTACAAGAGCTAGTTCCAGACTCCAAAGCCACAGAGAAACCCTGTCTCGAAAATAACAAAAAAAAATAAAAATAAAAATAAAAAAACAGAATAGCAGCTGATGATTCAGCTCAAACTTCAGACTCTAGAAGGGCCTAAGCAGGATTACTTCAAGCTGTGAAAGACAACGACCAATCCAGACTTAGCGTCATAGCCGATGAAGAGGAAAACCCAGCCAAAGGAGTTCATGGCTGTCCAGCACTCAAGGAGCGGAGCTCCATTTCTGTGGTCTTTTTGTTTCATCTTGCTTTTTTGGTTCTTTGGTGGGGAGGTTGTTTGGGGGACTTTTTGTTTTGGTTTGGTTTTGTCTCACTGATCTTTTTCTGTTAATTTTGACTTTTGGTTTTACGAGTTTTGTCAACAGGTGGGGTTGTTTCTTACTTTTTTGTTCTTTTTTGTTTTTAAAGAAAGAATGTAAAGATGGTTGGACAGAGAGAGGGAGAGAATCAGGGAAGATTTGGGGAGGCAGACAAACGTGATCAAAATATAGTATACGAAAAAAATTTTAATTAGAAAAAAAAAACCTTTTATTGCAGAGGACCTAAATATGGTGACCAGCACACACAACAAGCAGCTGACAACCACCTGTAACTCAGCTCCAGGAAATCTGATGCCTCTAGCCTCTGCAGGCACTGAGATTCATGTCCATGTGTACACACACACACACAATTAAAAATAATAAAATAAATATTGCTAAGGCCAAATCACCAGGCCAAATGGTGCACTCCTTCAATTCCAGCACATAAAAGGCAGAAAGAAACATATCTCTGTGAATTCAAGGCTAGCCAGGGCTATACTGTGAGACCCTATTTCAAACAAATAAATATTTATGAGGTCTTAAATAAATAACCTAACAATGCACCTCAAAGTCTTAAAAATATAAGAATACGTCTAATCAACCAGTGATGGGATGGATGCATAGCTCATTGGTAGAGTATTTTCCTAGAATGCCCATTGAGGTGCTGGAGGCATGGCTCAGTGATAGAGCCCCTACCTAGAACCCCCAGTGAGGGGCTGGGGGCATGCCTCTCTGTTCAGTAGAGTTCTTGGCTAGCATGCACAAGGCCTTGTGTTTGAGTTCCAACATCAGGAATAGAAAAAGAGAAGCTAGAGAGATGGCTCAGTGGTTAAGAGCACTGACTCCTCTTCCAGAGGTCCTGAGTTCAATTCCCAGAAAGGATGTAGTAGATAGATGGCTCACAACCATCTTTAGTGGGATTTGATGCCCTCTCCTGGGATAAAAGTGTACATGCAGAACACACAGAGTGGGGCTGTAAAGACGCTTTTGTAGATTTGATGTAGTTCCCAGCACTCACATGCTGCTGACAACCATCCATAACTCTAGTTCTAGGGGATCCAACACTCTCTTCTGACCTCCTCAGACATCAGGCGTGCATGTGGTACACAGAAATACAAACATGCAAAACATTTATACATATAAAATAGAATAAGTCTAAAAAGAATATTTAGAACAAAGGCAAACAAACAAATCTGGGTGTTGGTGGAGCATACGCCTTTTATCCCAGCACTAGGGAGGCAGAGACAAGCAGATCTCTGTGAGTTTAAGGCCAGCTTGGTCTACAAAGCAAGTTCCAGGACAGGTTTCAAAGCTACAGAGAAACCCTGTCTCAAAAAAAAAAAAAAAAAAAAAAAAACCCACAAACAAAAAAAAAAAAAAAAAAAAAAAACTAAACAAAAAAACAAGCAAGCAAACAAAGGCCGCTTAGTGCTATCACGATTGGACAAAAGGAGAAAGGGATTCGACATCTAAAACCCTAGACTCTTACCGCACAAGGCACAGCCTTCCATATGAATTAGTAGCCCCAAAACATCAACATCAACGGTGCCATGTTCAGAGACTAAAGGATACTCCTCCTTGCGTCCAAGTTGCATTTGGAACAGGCTGGCAAGTCAGAACACAAGAAGAACAAAAGTCCCTGAAAACAACCCTTCATGAACCCTGGATTCCCCCTGTGAGGCCATCACTCAAGATGCCTCTCAAACCAGTTTCAGAGTCAGGGGACTGGAGTGGATTCCGCACTGCACCCTCCCCCACCTCCACCCTGATGCCATGGGAAACAGGAGACCTGTAATCCCACAAGGAAGTTTTCACCCTTCTCCCAGGACCTGCCCTAACCAGCCTTTCTTGGGTAGCAACAATACCATCTGCCCCACCTCCATCTCACCATGTGCCTGAGACTTGAGGGGTTGAATTGCTTCCTCTCACCTCCCACAAGGACAGCAAAGTTGGGTGTGCTTCCAAGGGCTTCCCAGACCCTTGGCTGCAGTGCACCTCTCCCTTGCCTGCTCCAGTGTTGGCTTTAACACGCTCTTCTTCTGACCTGGACAGAAGTTGAGAAACTTGGACCAGTTTCCAAAATGAGAGCCAAGAACAGACATGGGTAGTGGTGGGGGGAGGGGGGACTCGGGAGAGTTGAAAAAGGACCTTATATAAGATAGGGAGGGAGGGAGAGATGGAGAGCGGGATTTGAGTCCTTTTTCTGTGGCCCTGCCTTTCTCCCTAACTCTCCTTCATCCTCAGCCAACTGTGTTCACAGTCACAGAAGCATGAGCCGAAGAGGAGTGAGAAGAGGCAGCAACCTAGAAGAAACAGAGGGGGGGGGGGCAGGGCTGGGGACTTGGCTCTGTCGGTACAGTGTCTGACATGCAGCAAGCATGGGTTCTATCTTCAGCATCCACGAATAAAAGAATGTGGATGTACATGCTAATAGTACCATCAGTCCAGAGGTAGGAGCTGAAAGATTCAGAGTTCAAGGTCACCCTTGGCTACGTAGCAAGTTCTAAGACATTCTGGGCTATATGAGACTCTGTCTCTAAAAATGAGACAGGCTAGAGAGGCAGTTTGGTGGTGAAGAGCCTGTACCACTCTTACAGAGGGTCCAGTTTGGTTCCAACACTCATGTCTGGGGGCTTACAACTGCCTATAATTCCAGCTCCAGGGGGTCCAATGCCTTCTGACTTCTGCGGGCAACTGCACCCATGTGCACAGACCACATCCACACACATCAACAAAATTTAGAAATAAATCTTAAAGAGAAAGGGGGCCTCCGAGTGCTTGCTCTCCCACCCTCCAGAAGGACAACAAAGTTGGGTGCACTTGTGAGGGTTTCCCAGACCCTTGCCTCAATGGACCCATCTTTTCTCCCCTGTTAGTCTCTATTTTAATGTTTTTAAACTTGACAGACAGCGATATCGTGTGTGTCATTTTAATACATGTCTTTCAGGATCCTTTATTGTGAGACCAAGAGAGACAGAGGGAAATTCATAGCGAATTCCAGAGACGGACCACAAGACATGGAGAACTCAAGGAGGGTCCAGGGAAATGAGAACTCTACAGGGAGGGAACCGGCCTTACAGAAGGCCCCTTGGCTGGAGTGGCAAAACAGGACTTGAACCTACAAACAGAACAGAAGAGGCCCAAAACAGGACTGGGTCCAGGACTGGATCTTCAACACTCCCTCCCTGGCCCATTATTTTCTTGGCCAACACCCCATAACCCCAACTCCTCCTCCTCCTTGAGAACCAGACCCAAAGTTGAGAAGCCTTTGCCCTATTCCAAGGCAAATAGCAAGCACTGACCACAGCGAGGAGATTTAAGGTCAGCCTTTGGGCCAGGATGCCCCGGTCAAGCACAGAGGGCTGTAGAGGTGTGGCCCCCACTCGCCCCACCTGGCCAGCTGGCTGAGAGCCCAGGGTCTACAGGAACGGTATGACGGGCTGGGAGGAGGGGACTAAGCATATGGAGGAACCACGCAAGGGGGCAGGGCAGTGGAGGGGCGTGGAAAGGGACAACTTAAGAGCAGGTGCCGCCCCCCCCCAATACCCCAGCACACACGAGAGCTCCAGAACATTCTTGCAGAAACTGGGACACAGGTGAGGGTAGCTCCCAAGAGAGGGCGCTGACTTCATCTCGAAGGAGCTCTTCTGGGACTTTGTGCCTGTCTCAGGTGGTGTCTACCTGTCCATCTATCCTCCCTCAGGCCCTGTGGGGAGCAGGGCTCTCAGTCTCTCAATCTCCCATCAGTCCCTCCTTTTTATTCATTTTTTTCTTCTTAACATGACAAATAGCAATATCATATGTGTAGTCTTTTAGGAGCCTTTATTTTGTAGTATCTATCTCTGGGTAGTTTTGGGGTTTTGTTTGTTTGTTTGTTTGTTTACTTTTTAGTTTGTTTTGGGTTTTTTTGGTTATTGTCTGGTTTGATTTTGCTAGTTTTTGTTGTTGCTGTTGTTTTTATTTGAAGAGGTTGTTTTGTTTGAGACAGGGCTTTGATGCATAGCTCTTGGCTGACTGAAAACCCACTATATTAGATAAGGCAAGCCTCAAACCTTTAGTGATCTTCCTGCTTTTGCCTCCCTAGTGCTGGATTGCAGGCATGCAGCACTGTGTTTAGCCTGCCGCTGCTTCTGGGTATGCATATCTGAGCTAGGTTCAGCAGTGCTTGCCTGTAATCCCAACACAAGAGGATAGGGCTGGAGGATTGGTATAAATCTGAAGCCAGCATGGCTACAGAGTGAGACCCTGTCTTTCTAAATGAACCAAAAAAAAGTGTGTGTATCTGTCTTTTCAACTCCATCTCTCTTCTTCTCTCTGTCTTACACACTTGCTCACTCACTCTCTCATCTGTCAGCCTCTCTCCTGTGACTTTACTCTTTTTTCTTTCTTTTATAGAAAAGTCTTAATTTGTCTGTACTCGTCCGTGTATCTGTCTTTTGTTATTTCTCTTTGTGAGAGCCAGTGTTTTGATGGGTGGTTTAAAATGGACAGATGAGAGACGGATAAGAGATGATAGATAGATAGATAGATAGATAGATAGATAGATAGATAGATAGATAGATAGATAGATAGATGATAGATAGATTATATATCTGTATGTGGATAGATAGATAATACAGCTACATAAACTGTTAAGACATGGATTGCACTGTTTCCCACTTCACTCTCTGTGTATTTCTCCATCTCTGTATCTTAGGTAGCATCTGTCTCCACTGTCTGCACCCTCGTTTCTCATGTTTACATTTTGGCAATCTGTCTGCACCCTCGAACACCTTTTTCCCTTCCTTCCTCCTCTCCCTCCTAGCCCTCTGATCTCACTCTGCATCTCCTTCTCTCCACTACCCCTACTGCCTGGACCCAGGAGAGGAAAATTCCAGAAGAACATTACAGAGGGTTTCCACTCTCTCCCTCTCCCTCTGCCCCCCCCAGGCACTGCAGCTGCCTTCAGCATGGATGGTGTGAGCACAGCCATCTTGCTTCTCCTCCTAGCTGTCATCTCTCTGTCCCTGACCTTCACCTCATGGGGCAAGGGCCAGCTGCCTCCAGGACCCAAACCTCTCCCCATCCTGGGAAACCTGCTGCAGCTTCGCTCCCAAGACTTGTTGACCTCGCTCACCAAGGTGCAGGGGACTCACCTTTGGTCAAGGGCAATGGGGAGGGAAGGGGCCCCATGACCACCAAACCCTCAGTAAATGCTCTCTCCTACCTCCAGCTCAGTAAGAAGTATGGGTCCGTGTACACGGTGTACCTGGGGCCTAGGCGAGTGGTGGTCCTCAGTGGATACCAAACTGTGAAGGAGGCTCTCGTGGACAAAGGGGAGGAGTTCAGTGGCCGCGGCTCATACCCGGTCTTCTTCAACTTCACCAAGGGCGATGGTAAGCCTGCCCCCATCTCCTCTATCCTCTAGACTTTCGCAGATCTAGGCAGGGAGCAAGGGTGAGAGATGGCACCTCCATGACATTCAGAGCTGCAGATCTCACTAACGACCTCATCAAGAAGCAGAAGTGATCCTGGGAGGGGTGGGGAGAACCTATCCCACCCCCGACTCCCATTTCCACCATGAACTGAACAGCCATACCAACCTCCATATCTGCTTGCTCCAACCCCTTGTTCACCCCAATCCTTACTCTGTCTAAATCACATCATCAAATTTCCATTCAGTCAAGTAGCCAAGTACTGACCTTTGTCCCCTCCTGTCTACCTCAACCCAACCTCAATCTCTAACAGACTTACATCCATGTTGCCCATTTCCAATTCCATCTTATTTGGGGAAAGAGATGTCTGTTTGCATGGTTTTTGAGATAGGGTCTGTCTGCACCCGTCTCCATCACCCTGCACTGCAAATACAGTCATGGTCACACCCAGTAAACATGAGTATGGGGTATAGAACTCAGATCCTCATGCTTTTGTGGCAAACACCTTACCCACCAAGCTATCTCCTTACCCTGATGGTCCTCATCCTCCTTCATCTTCTTCTCTCTTCCTCAATGACTAATTCTCTACTATGTCAAAAGGAATCAGCATTTTTCTTTAAAGAAATCAAAGACTTTATACCCCGTGATTCCTAATTCAATGAGAAACACAGACCATCATGAGACTGTGACATCCCAACATGGTCAGAACTGGGCTGGGGAGCTTCAGGAACCCAAAGGAAGTACCTGACCTAGCCAGGGAGGAATTCCTGCCCCAGAGGTCCTCCTATCTGATACCTAAAGTGATGAAGATGACTAGTCAGGTCAAGAGGGGGTGAAAGTGTTCTAGGGCTGAGGAGATGACTGTGAGGATAAAACACTTACTGCAGAAGCTTGAGGTTGGAATTTTGGATCCCCAGCACTCACGTGAATGCCAAGTGGGCATAGCTGTTGTCTGCAATCCCAGCACATGGGAGGCAGAGACAAGGGATCCCCAGAGCTGGATAGCGAGAGTAACTCTGTTGGCAGACTCTGGACTCAAGTGAGAGGCACTGCCTCAATAAACAGATGAGGAAGGTGATCGAGAAAGACCGCTGATGTTAATAAATAATAGTAATAATAATAATAATAATAATAATAATAGTAATAGTAATAATGATAATATGGGACCAGGGAAATGGCTCAGGAGGTAAGGGTGCTTGCTGCTAAACCTAAGTACTTGAGTTCAATCCCTGGAGCCCATATGGTAGAAAGAGAAAACTGATTCCTGCAGGTTATTCTCTGACTTCCATGGCACATATGTACCCACACTCACACACACACACACACACATAAAATAAATAAATGTAACAAATAATAATAATAAAAGTAGAGGTAGAAACAAGAGTCAGGCATGGCATTCTGTCATTGTAATCCCAGCGTTTGATGGGCGGAAGCACAGGAATCTTCGCAAGTTCAAGGTCAGCCTGGTCTACATGATGAGTTTAAAGCCAGCCAGGGCTACATAAGAAGACACTGTCAAGAACAAAAGTAAAAGGGGTGTCTGAGATGTGGTTCAGTGACAAGGTACTTGCCTGACATCTGCATGGCCCTTGGTTCAATCAGTCCTAGTACCAAAAATCAAAAAGCAGGGAAGGGACTGACTTCTGCAGAGGGTTGTACAAAGGCTCAGAGACCAGGCTTGTTCTGGGGTGTCTCCTGGTGTCTAAGTATTTACTTTTCTTGCTTATCTCTCTTATTTGTGCTCTCAGTTGTCAATAAGCAATCATTAGCGGGTCTGGTGACAATGCCAAGGTATGAACTACAGGTCTTCACCCTGCCTTTCTGATAGCCCAAAAGGACCAGGTCTTTAGAGGGGAATCTGGAGGCAAGGTGACCTGATAAGAAAAGTCCAGAACCCTGTAGTACCCAAAGGGGCCTGCTGGCCCAACCCCGAGGTTCAGGAAAGCCTTGCTGGAAAATCAGAGATGAGATTCTAAACTGAATCCTTCTTTAGCGTATCACTTTTTTTTTTTCGAGACAGGGTTTCTCTGTGTAGCTTTGGAGCCTATCCTGGAACTTGTTCTGTAGACCAGGCTGGCCTTGTACTCACAGAGATCCTCCTGCCTCTGCCTCCCAAGTGCTGGGACTAAAGGCCTGTGCCACCACCACCCAGGCTGAACCCTCAACCAACAGGCCATCAGGAAGAGATGACTCCAATCGGTAGCTGTGGTTCAGGATGGGCTGATTGGCTGCTGAGTTTGCCATTCTCCTTCCCCTCCCCAGGCATTGCCTTCTCCAATGGAGAGCGCTGGAAGGCCCTCAGAAGGTTCTCGGTCCAAATCCTGCGCAACTTTGGGATGGGAAAAAGGAGCATCGAGGAGCGGATCCTGGAAGAGGGAAGCTTCCTGCTGGAGGTGCTACGGAAAACAGAAGGTCAGACCATGCCCCGAGATCGCACCCATCCTACTTAGGAGCTCCAGAGCCTGGGTGTGAACAGAAACTCTTGGAGGCCTCTCTGCCCATGGTTGGAACTGTCCCTCCTGGGGGTTAATGGGCATGGGAGTCTTGGAGGTTCCCCTATGGTCACAGCTCTGTTGTGTTGCCTGCTGCACTCAGGCCCAGCTGGGCTGGAGAGGTGGCAGAGCAGTTAGGAGCAGGTGTTCTTGCAGAAGACCCAGGTTCAATTCCCAGCACCAACATGGTGCTTCATCAACATCTATAGCTCCCGTTCCAGAAAATCCAATGCCCTTTCTGACTTTCACAGGCATCATGCATGTACACACACACACACACACACACACTCAGGAAAACACTCACACAAAATAAAATGAATAAATCTAACTTAAAATGTTGGGTAAAATCACTGCAGCTGAGCCTGGAAATGGTAGTACATAGCTGCAACCCCAGAACTTAAAAAGTGGAGGCAGGAGGACCAGGAGTTCAAGATCATCCTTGGCTAAGTAGTGAGTTTGAAACCAGCCTAGGATACATGAGACCATGTTTCAAAAAAATAAAAAATGGCAGAGAGTGAGGGGCAAGTGTGCTGGAGTGATGGTC